CACTTCACCTAACCCACTATCACCTCCACTACACCTACTACCACATTTTCTTCTATATATATCAATAAACAAACTCACAGGTCTCTCTCTCTCTCTCATCAAATTACACACTTTATTGAAAATTATGTTAGGTGGATGTTTTGAATTAAAGCTTCTAATGCGGCTCTGTTTATGAAGCAGCAAAGACTAAAGTCCTACTAGGGAGAGTCGCAGACAGGTCTCTCTCTCTCTCTAATGTTTTGAATTGAAACAGAGCTTCTAATCCTTCATATTTGCAGGAACTTGGATGTTTTGAATTAAAGTTGTTTCTTCTTTTCTTTTTCTTCCTTTTTTTTTTTTTCAAATTACTCACCAAAACGACGTCGTTTTGGTGAGATTTAATTTCCACCGTTGGATGAATCACTCCAGAGATCACTTGAGGGTTTTCACTCTAGAGGATCCGGACGCATTATTTTGGACGGCGATGCTACGGCCTCGAATGTCGAGGCTCCTTCTTTTAATATTTATTTATTTGTTGGTGTTGGTGTTGGTGTTGGTGTTGGTGTTGGTGTTGACTCTTTTTTTTTCTTTTTTAAAAGGATAATTATGTAGTGTGTCAAAAAATTAAGGTGGTGATTGGTTTATGTTTGTAGAATAGTTTTTAAGATAAAAAGTATGAAAATTTGTTTAGTTTGTCTTTTTTTAGAAATAGTTTTGAAAAATTATTTTGAGGAGAAATTTTTAAACAAAGTGATTGATTTGATGTATATAAGATAGAGTGATTTTAATGTGATTGCGTGGCAGATCAATCTAACTAGATATATGCTATGCTAATCCATCCACGTCAGCTCCCGTGATTTTAGCTAAATATCTTGAGTTGATCAGAAGACGTGTCCGAATAATGTTAACAGAGACGACTTTAGTAGCACGTGTCGTGACCCTACAAGTTGTCTGTCCTCTCAATCAAAAGGAGAAGGAATAAACATTGAGGCTCCGTTCAAGTTTTGAATTATAGTTCCATTTATTTGATTTGAGTGTATTATTTGTTTGGAACTTTCAAATCATAATTTTATACATATTTTTCAAAATTTAATTCAAAATATAATTATTACTTTTCAAAACTCATAATCAAACACATAATTTAAAATTCTTTTCAAAATTCAATTTAAATCAATATTTTAATTTTTTAAATGTTTTAATATTTAAATATGTTATAATTTTTTTAATTTTTTGAATATTTTTAAATATTTTAATTTCAAAATATTACGATTTTAATTTTTTAAAATTTAAATTATTTTATAAAAATAAATTCAAACTCTATTTTATAAAAATATTTTTAAATATTTTAATTTTTTTTCTGTTAATAATATTTTTTTTAATTGAATTTTAAAAAGAGTTTGGTTATGAGTGTTGATCAGAATTTTCAATAGTGTGAAAGTAGTGTGTTTTGTTATGAGTTATAACAATTTGAATTAAGTTTTGAAAACTCTTTCCAAAACTCATAACCAAACAATTTTTCTTATTTCACATGTCAAATCAAACTTTCAAAACTCAATTCCACACTCAATTCAAAACTCAGTTCAACACTCTATTCAAAAACCATAACCAAACAAATTTTCTACACTTAAATCATATTTTCATAACTCACAAACTCAAAATACAACTCATACTCTCAAATCATATTTACAAAACTCTGCCAAATGCAACCTGAGAGTTTAATTTTGAAACTCTAAAGAGAGTTATAGTAATGTGGCAAAGAATGAGACTCACATGTGATATGATGTGTGTGTCAATATTTTATTTTTATTTTGCCATATCATTAGAGCTTTCTTTAGAGTTTTAAAATTAGAACCCTTTATCATTGTTGAAGTAGAAGTTATTCTTTGATCCTGATATACAACCATATAAGGTGTGTTTGATTTGTGTTTTGAGATAAATTTTTAAAAAAAATTTGGGAAGAAAGTCTAGAAATTTTTTTGGTTTGTTTGGTTGTTAATTTTTAAAATAATTTTGGAGTTTGAGAGTTTGAAATGACTTGATATTTTGTTATAATTCAGTAGATGTGTGTGTGAGAAAAAATAATTGAGAAGTATAAAAGAGAGAGAAAAAATAATTGATTGATATATAGGAGAAAGAAAGTAATTTTTAAAATTATTTTTTAAAAATTTCTAACCAAACAAAATTTTGAATTTTTTTTTCAAAAATTATGTCCTGAGAGTTAAATCAAACAAGATTGTAGTATCTCGGGTGTCCTCTGATTGATAAAAATAATAAAATTTATATTAAATAATAAAAATATATAAAATTTGTGATTGATGTAAAACAGGTGAGGTGATTTTAAGCAATAATGATTGAGACTACTAATTTTGAAACTCTAAAAAGACTACTAATGACATGGCACTCAATAAAAAAAGAAAAAAAATACAACACCAAGGCCAAAATATCAAATCATTCATGGTGGGCCTACTGTCACATCATTAGTGGTAGCACTAATTAGTGCTCCCACTCATTTTCCGATTTTAAAACTAACCAATCATTTTTTGGAACAATAATGATTCATCTCACTAAAAGCATCACCACTAATAGCACTAATACATTAAAAAAGTAAAAAAAAAACAACAATGATTCATCTCACTAAAAACATTACCACTAATAGCACTAATACATTAAAAAAAGTATAAAAAAAAAAAAAATACAACTCCAAGACCAAAACATCACATCATTAATAGCGGGACCCACTGCCACCTAATTAGTGGGAGCACTAATTAGTGCTCCCAAGTATTTTTCAAAAAAAAAATACAACTCCAAGACCAAAACATTACATCATTAATGGCGGGACTCACTGCCACCTAATTAGTGGGAGCACTAATTAGTGCTCCTAAGCATTTTTCTTTTTCGGAATCAGCATCCTCTCCTTAATTTATCTCCTTGTCTTTTTACTTACCGGATCATTAGGTCTACTTTTGAGTTTAATTTTAATGATTTGAACTATTTATATTTCAAAATTTATTGAGTATATGATATCTGTAAAAAAATTAAGTTGATCAGATGTCAGAAATGTGTTTGAAAAACTATTTATTAATTTTTTTAAGAAAATAATTTTTAATTCGATAATCTGAATAAGTAGTTTCTGATATCTGATTAATTTAATTTTTTATAAATATAATATGCTTAACAAATTTTAAAATATAAATAATTAAAATTATTAAAATTAAGTCCAAAAGTGATTCCATTCAGCCAACAAATAGAGAGGCAAACAGAAAGATCAAGGAGAGATCCTGATTCTATTTTTCGTACCAAAGACCTGCAATAGATATGAACGATGTCCACCTCATCACAACGCGCACGTCCCCCTCAGATCTCAACTGTCCATTTCTCCACAAAGTTTAGATGGTCCGTAAGGATAAAAGTTAATATAAACTCATCCTCGGTGATCTCGCTCTATTCCACTCTCTGATTCGTTTAAAATAAAATAAAAACAAAAAGAGTTGGCCGTAACTTGAGGGCCGTACGCTCACCGTCAATTTTTTTTTAATAATTTGAATTATTTATTTTATAAATTTTTTAATAAATATTATATATAAAAAAATTAAATAACTTTAATAATTATAATATTTTTATTTTATCAAGTTTATTTAAAAAAAATAATCATAAATATTTTAAAATATGGGATAATTCAAATTTAGGAGTCTTTTGACAAGCTGATTAAAAGTTAACTTTTAATTTTTAACTTATTTTTAGTCATATCACCTCTTATATTTTTACATATAAAAAGATAAAAAATTAAAAAATTAATTTTTAACTAACTTTTCAGACCATCCATATATATCATTCATTTTTAAAACGTAGATATCAAAATTTATTGTAAGGATAGTACTAGCAAATGTTTCTAGGGCACAAAAAAATGACTCGTTCATCACCAAAAATTTATTAAATATAGTAGTTTTTATTAATCTCAAAACAGTTTATAATGTTTTTACACTTTTGGCCTTTTTCGGCAAGAGGTTAAAATTACTAATTGTTTTTACTTTTAACATCTCTTTATTTTTTTTTATAATTTTTTTTTTTAAAAATAGAAAAATTAACTTTTAATCAAAAAAAAATTATTCCAAAATCCAGGGGGGGCACGTGACCCCCCTGGTCGAGCTGTGGCTCCGCCACTGGTTGTGATGTTATTTGAGCCCATTTTGGGTTTTATTTTAATAATTTGAATCGTTCATGTTTTAGGATACATCAAGTACAGTATAACATATTAAAAATTAAGTTGATCGGATATTGATAATTCTAGTGTGTCTTGATTTTTTTTTTTAATTTGAATTATTTATATTATAAAATATATTAATTATTTTATTTATAAAAAAATTTAGATTAAATGAAAATATGTAATCTCTTATCAGGCATTAAGTTTGGCATCTATTAAATAATATAAAAAATTAAAAAATGGTTATTCTATTTAAGTTACATCATTTTATTTAAATCACATCACCTCTCTAACACATCACATCAAACCCAATCTAAACCCAACTCATATAAGTCAATAAGTCAAAAAATACACTTTTTTAGAACATCCCAAACCAAACATTGTACGTGGGGTATAATTGCAATCTCTCATTAGTGTTAAGAAAAAATTCGGGTTTTTTGGTTATTTTAACCCTAAGAAAATAATAAAATAATTTTTTTAATTTAATAAAATAAAATATCAAATCTAATTTATAATCATTATATTTTTTTTTCACAAAAATTAATAAGTCAAAAAAATATCTCAAACAAATTTTTTTAATCCAAAACTAAAATAACTAAAAACCTAAAAATCAAAAAATCAACTCACACTCCAAACAAATCCTATTTTGGAGATTTTTTACGCGGTTGGAGGGTATTTAAGTAAAATCAGGATGCGTAATCAGTCAGATTTGAATAGAGAAATCAACGGCCAGCTTTCATTGTCGGTTTGAGAAGTCACCGTCTTCGAAGCCTCTCGAAAGCAGAGGCTTTCGCGTGGGCTATAAAAACCTTCGATTCGAAACCCCTCAGCTCCCACCTTTCTCTCTCTAAAACAATCACAACTCTCTCTCTCTAAAGAAAAATAGACGCGCAGAGAGGATCGACGGTCGAGTCGGAGAATTTCGATCCTGACATTTCTATCAATCGGCGAAGAAAATCGAAAGTTCGTTATTTGTGAATTATATATAAATCTCTCAACTTTACCTTGTTTTCTTCTTTGATTTGTATATTATTTTGTTGAATTTAGGTAATGATCTCGCCAAAACTCTGGATTATTAGTTTTGAGTGATGAAATTAGGGACTGTTGGGCTACTGAGAGAGCTCGGGAAAAAGAGATTATTGTTTTCTTTTCTTATGGTTTTTCATCAACCGAGCTTGGTATCGTGTTGCATTTGATTTGGCTTTCTTAGGGACTGAGAGGAGATAATTGAATGCGTGTAGAAATTTCTGATTTTTGGGTTTTTTCAGGCATTTTATTTTGATTTTCAAGTTTTTTTCACAGGACCAGATGTATTGTTGGGATTTGCTCTCTTTGCTGTGTGTGTTCCTAGATTGGCAATTCGCAGTTTTGTCTGCATCTCTATGCATGCGTAGCTCGACTTCATAGAGTTATCGCTTATGATGATTTTTTTTTTTGGTTGCTGCTGTTAATCTCACATTTGTTTGATGTCTACTAGCATGAACTAGCATGAACTAGTACTACTAGGGTTGCTGTCTCTGTTTAAGCACAATTATTTGTCTAGCTTTCTTGTTTTGTGTTTATTAGATTATTGTTAGATTCTAGGGGGATGCGTTCAATCAATACCTGATTTGATATTTTACATGAATTTTGTGTTGTACTGGTTTGGATGCTATTGTTCAAGTTGGGTGCCACTGTTGTTGTGTTGGACTATATTCCATTGGGTTCTACAGGTCTTTGGTTCCTTGTAGTATTAGGAAACAATTGTACTTAAGGGGGGAAAATGAAAAATCTTCTTCCAAACTTTAGTGGATGAAACAATTGTACTTGAAGTTTTACCAGCTTGAATGCTGGACACGGGATGCTATTATTGCTTGGTATTGAGTGCCAATAGTTATTGTTCAAGTTGGGTGCCAATATTATCGTGTTGGAGAAAGAACAAAAAAATATTTGATAGATGTTCCATTGTTTGAAGGGGGAACAATTGAAAAATCTTCTTCCAAACTTTAGTTGGGGCAAATCTTTTTTGCATTAAGTGCAATTGTTCATTAGCATTTAATCATGTTGTCATTGAGTCGGGTAAATTCTTTGAAGCTCAACCCTGATAGAACTGTAGTGTCAACATAAACAAGGACTTAATGGAATTCTTATCAGATTGAACGATAGTAACTTGTTTATTTCATTCTTTTAATAACTCTTCTATATTTCTAAAGGATATGAAATGCACGCTGCATCTGGATTCAGTGTGCAGGATGCTTAGGGTCCTTGATTGATCAAGTAGACTTAGGTTTATGCTGTCAGTTCAGTAGTGGTGTCCACTTAGGTGCTGGTGAAGATATATGTTCGTTAAACTTTGGTTCATTAAACTGTGTCAAATTACTCAAGGAGCTAAATTGCAATAATCCGATTCTTTCTTTCACCTGGTTTTCCCTTCCACTTCTCAAAATACAGTCTCTTTCCTTTTGTCTACCAGCTGCTCAGGCCATAGATCATTTTAACCTTGTTAAGCCTCCGTTTGGGAAGCAAGATTTGGGCTAAAATAGTCATATAAGACAAAATAGTCTATTTTAGCTCAATAAGACAAAACATCACATCCAACCCATAATCATTACATTATTTCTCTAAAAAAAAGGCTAAAAAAGCCAAAAGCTCTTCCTAAACTAGGTTTTTTAGCCCTAGGCTAAAATAGTCAAAAAAAAAAAAACTAAAAAGCCAAAAAGCCAACTCACTTTCCAAACGGAAGCTAAGTATGGACCATGTGCTTGTGGATTACCAGTCTTTGAATAGGCACTGGAATTCTAGAATTCACAATGGCATATTTTCTCAAAGCTCCCCATTCCCTTTATGTTCCGATCTCCTTGAAAATAGTGAAATCACTTGAAACAGCAATTGAAATCCATGCTACTAAAGACAAACTCCACTAATCTTGCCAAAGAATTCATCTTGTAAAAGTGGGGAATCTAGATCTCGTCGGATGTCTTTACTTTCAGCCAAGCAGGCTATGTTGTGGCTTCTACAAAGCAACCCAAACAGTTAGATAACAAGAGACGATTAACGTTGAAATGAGCTAGAATCTTCTGATTGAAGAGAAGCCCATGGAGGCTGGATGATAATAGAAGTTGTTTTGGGTAAGTTTCACCTATTGAAGAAGACATGGTGCAGAATCGCAGATCGAGGTAGGCTTGTCCTTTATGGACAATCAACTTAACTCATCTCTGCAATATCTCGCACTTTTTCCCCTGAATTTGTTATCACTTTTAGAACACATTTGATGTTGTGATCTATTGCTTTTACCATAGGTTGGGGCGTCCATTGGTGTTGTCCAATTTAGATGCGTTTGATCATCTTCTTGAAGAATCGATCATCCAATGGTTACTATGCCCAGCTGAAGACTTTGAAGTGTTTTTCTGCTTGGATGGGCGACTAGATATGCCTTTATAGGTTTTAGAATTTTTGCCTAACTTGTTCCCAAATGCAGGTGCTTTAGGCTCATAACCAGCTGCTAGGTAGTCTTTAATATTCATTCAAAAGATTAACCAGCGGGCGTAGCAGTCAATAGTTCTGAAGCTCTAAAATTTGTGCCCAAAAACCTCCAACACATGACCAGTGAAGAGCAAAACATGGAAGCGGCTGATTTTTGTTCTCAGCATTCTTATGGAGAGTGTGTGCCAACTGAACCAACATGCGATGCAAAAACCAGCAGCAGCACAGAACTGCTGGATAAAGGATGCATGCAGTATGGGTATGGTTCTTATCCGTTTTCTTCTTGTCTTTAATACAGGTTCCTTATAATTTTTTTGAGAAAAATAATATTTTGTGCTTACTTTGACAGGTGTTCTCATTACCGACGAAGATGCCGCATTAGAGCTCCATGTTGCAATGAGATTTTTGATTGTCGTCATTGTCATAACGAGGCAAAGGTTTGTTCATACTAATTTCATACATAAGTTTGTTTTGTTTGTTTATATGTTTCTCTCTTGTAGAAACAATTGACAAGGACAGCCACATAGTAGTCACTGTACACATATAAGGAACTGGAGTTTATGACAAATGGTAATTGTGCTTATATAATCTATGGAAGACACATTCATTATAAGCTATAAATTTATGAACAATAAGATAGAAGTACGAAAAACTGAATAAAATGTCAATTAGTTACGCAACTTTGGTTCTAATATTTGATCAATTATCCTAGCTCGATATGATGCTTATATACCTATGGATATACTTAGGATCAGTTAGTTTGGCCATGTCTGATTGCCAAATAGACGAATTCAGTCATCAGCCATCTTGACTTGGAATTATAATCATTTTCAGTTAGTTTGGCCATGTCTGATTGCCAGATAGACGAATTCAGTCATCAGCCATCTTGACTTGGAATTATAATCATTTTCTTGTATCTTTTCTTGCATATGTTAGCATTTGGGTTCTTCATTACCAATAATGTACCTAATTGGGTTCAGAACATTGTGGTGTGCTATAATGTATAGTTTTGTCTCTTTGTTGCTTTTTAATATAATCCTTCAGAACATTTCTGGAATCTGTTGACATATGTATATATTGGTTTGCAGAACAGTATCAATATTGATCAAAAGCATAGACATGACATTCCACGGCATCGAGTCCAACAGGTAGACCCTTGTACAGCTGCTTTTTCTCCTCTTTCCGGATCCATGCATTTCTTTGTCTGTCTCCAAATAATTACTGATATTTAACTTTTCTTTTTCAGGTCATATGTTCTCTATGTGACACTGAACAAGAGGTGAGTCATTACTCATTGGGTTTATTTGCATTTTGTCCTCATCACAAGCATAAAATTGGGCCCTGATTTCTAAACCAGGAACATCATATAGACCTGTTAGTTAACTGGTTTTGTAAAGGATGCCTTTGATCCCCAAAAAAAAAACTGGATTTTCTTTTGGATTGAGACTTGAATTTTTTATTTTTTATTTTTAAAATAAAAAAAATAAAAAAAAACTGAATAGATTGAGACTTGTTAAAAATAGTTTTTTCATTATTATTTTTAAAATTAATTGTCTAATTATTGATGTCTGTTTGCATTTTATTGATTAAAAATTGCAAATCTCTGACCTTGTTCTGTTTTTTTTTTTTTGGTGCTGCTATAACCAGGTTCAGCAATTTTGTATCAACTGTGGTGTGTGTATGGGAAGATACTTCTGTGAAACTTGCAAGCTGTTTGATGATGATGTGAGTGGATTTTTCTTCTCTTATGGATGTCCTTATTTGCTTTATGTGAGAGGGAACTTGTATAGGAAAGCCTGATAACTATGACGCCACTATTGATATCTTGAATAGAGTTGAACAGTGAAAAAATGGAGGCTAAAATGGAATGTCATTGGGATAAACTCTTCAACACACACACACATACAGGGACTACCTCATTGCTGAAGCACATGATGCTTTTTACTTTTGAGTGGACGATGTGTGCTGATCTAACCATCTTATTTTGTCATTTTGCAGACGTCAAAGAAACAATATCATTGCAATGGCTGTGGTATATGCAGGTATGAATCATTCCTTGTCTCAGTTTAACATAAAGTAACGAGAATAGTTACAAACTCATGGATGTGAAACGAGGGTGAAGTTAAGTGCTTGGTGTCTATGCACAAAATTTCAAGTTAGTGGGTCTTTTTTAGAAGGAAAGCAATCGACATTGTGCAAATGATCAAATTTAACAAGGGTGTCTCCTTAAGATTAGGATTAATGTTGGAGGTCAATTTCCCATTAGTGCAAGAATGTAAATAGTTAAAAGATTGTCCTTAACACTCAAGAGTAAGTGCCTAAAGTCACATACATATTTAATTCTCTTGCTTTTGTTGCAGAATTGGCGGGCGGGAGAATTTCTTCCATTGCAATAAATGCCGTATGTCTCTGTTCTTTCCTGTATTGGTTATATGTCATATAGGTGTTTTGATTACGTTTATGTTAGTATATTTTAATTGTTTGTGCTAATTATATTGTGGACATACCTTTTAGGATGCTGCTACTCGGTTCTTTTGAAGAATAGCCATCCCTGTGTTGAAGGAGCAATGCATAATGACTGCCCTGTTTGCTTTGAGGTATTTGACATTATCCATATTTGCTTTGGTTCTTCCTATACTCTAATGATTTCAGTGTTTTATGTTTTAGTACATGTCCACAAGCACATGCTAATCAAAAGCGGTTTCTGCAGTATCTATTTGAGTCGAGAAATGATGTAACCGTCATGCCCTGTGGGCATACTATTCACGAGAGCTGCTTAAAGGATATGCATGAACATTATCGGTGAGGGTCTAGAGAATTAATTCTCGGGTAAATGGTTTTGAGGAATATTTTTTTTTTGTATATATTAATTTACTTGGTTATTGAATAGGTATGCATGTCCTATCTGCTCCAAGTCAGTCTGTGATATGTCGAAGGTATGGGAGAAATTTGACATGGAGATTGCGGCTACACCCATGCCCAAACCTTACCAAAACAAGATGGTCAATCTCTCTCTCTCTCTCTCTCTCAAAATTCATTGGATATTTTGCAGGAGGAGATTTACTAATGTGAATTTGGTGTTTACAGGTCCGGATCCTCTGTAATGACTGTGGAACCAAATCAGAAGTGCAGTTCCACATAGTAGCTCAGAAATGCCCCAACTGCAAGTCTTATAACACACGCCAAATAAGAGAAATTTGAATTGGAATGGTTAACACAAACACAATTGATCGCTCAGCGATGCTGTTCACTTTGGGGTTCACCTCATTCATGAAAGACTGAGTGACTCGTCCTAGTACCACCGCTTGTTTAGTAGATATTCTTGCATCCATCTATTTCCATTTTGTATTTTTCATATTTTTTTCCAAGCATATTAGACTCTTTTTACCTAATCAATTTTAGTGGAATATATTTCTTTTCTCCATCAGTTCCAGATCTCCCTCTCTTTATCATTTGCATGTTAGTTCTGTGGAAAACTTGTTAGGAGAAATTTTTATTTTCTCCGTGCAATTTAGATATTATTTGCTGGTAATTTACCTCCTCAATTTTCTTCAATAAACTAACTGCGTTTGGATCTCCACGTGTGCTATGCATGTGTTAGCTCGCAGAGCCTCACAAAAAGAAAAAAAAAAGAAAAAAAAAGAAAAGAAAATGGAAGAAAAATTACTGTCACTTTTATGTTTTAGCTAGTTTTTTAAATTTTAATCCTTTAAATTTATTTTTTTTGTTTTAAATTTTTCTCATTTTATTCTTAAATTTAATTTCTATTTAAAATTAAATAAAAAATTCACAATAATTGTTACAAAATATATAAAATATATTATTATATTAAAATTTAAATTTTTATTAAAAATGTAAATAATATATAATAAAATATTTTATGTCACGTAATTAATAATGTATTATTTTTTGTTTAATTTTTAATAAAAATTAATTTTAAAAGTTAAATGAAATTTTTTTTTTAACATGAATGATCAAAGTTAGAAAAAAATATACTTGAAAGGACAAAATGAATAATTTATTCAAAAAAAATATTCCAACAAATTGCTGCCCACCACTTCTATATTCATTTGGCTAAAATGGAATGTCATTGGGATAAACTCTTCAAAAAAAAAAAACAAAAACAAAAACAAAAACAAAATAAAGAAAACAAGGTTATGTTAAATTATAAAAATTTTAAAACAGAGAATAATAAATTTCACGTCTAAATGTTATTTACAAGTTTGATTTTGTTAGGAATTCAAATCATGTCCAAATTCCTGTTTAGCGTGGAGTTTTATTCCAATAAAAAATAAAAACTCATAAACTAAAAATTAAAAATACTCTTTGAGTTTTTAAATAATTTAGGTTGTTTTTATCTTATAAATTATAGGCAGGATTTGAACTAAACATTTTGACAAAGATTTTTAAAATAAAATCAAAAATTAAAAACACTCTTCTAGTTTTTAAATAATTAACTTAAGTTACTTTTATCTTAGGAAAAATTAGTCTAAAGTCCCTCTTCCATTTTTAGTAATGAAAGAGATCCACAATATTATTTTTTGATGTCTAAAGTCTCTCCCATCTATCACAGAGAAATTTAGTATATATCTCACGCTCTGTGTGTGTCTCTCTCGCTGCTCTCTTCCACTCCTCCAAATCCCCAAACTCAACCTTCTTCGATATCACTCTCTCTTCCAATTCAGCCCCGTTCATTGTTGTTTCTCTTCTTAAGCTTATTTGCCTTTGTTATTCCAATCCCGCCACTATCTCTCTCTATCTCCCCTCTCTCTCTCTCTCTTCCCGATCTCATCACTTCACCTCTGTTGCAGTTGCTGTCTCCTCTACTGTTGCTGCCATCAGCACCGCTGCCAACGCCTCTCCCTTCAGATCAACCCCGTCATCACCAAATCGGACCTCCACCGAACACACAGTTCTGCCGATGGTTCACTCATGCTCGAGTTCGCCTCCGCCTCCGCCACCCTCGATCGCCAAAATAGTTAGGCATATATATATGTGTATCTGGTTTGAGTGAAAGTGAATTACATTTGCTTAATGTTGTTTTTGCCTCTCTCCTCTCCCTCTCTATCATGCATTTTTAGTTTAATTTACACATACGACATGAATTATATTGGATGAATTTATCATAAAGCAGTTTTTGTTGCTTGTTTGAACTTTGAAAAATGATAGAAGAACAATCCTTAAGATTTTTTGTTCTTTGTTTTGTATTACATGATATAAATCTCTAGTGTTCTGATAAATCCGAAAATGCTGTTCATCTATATTTGTCTCATGGTGGACTCTCAGTCCGGTTGTTTAAAATTTTCTTGGGATTTTCTCTAAATTTCAGTGAATTTCTCTGGGTCGGAGAGCGATTTTCTCTGAATTTGAGTAAATTTCTCTGGGATTGACTAAATTTCTCTGGTTTGTATCTGTGATTATTGTGTAAATAGAAGGGGAAATTTCTCTGGAGAGAGGGAAGGCCAGAGAAATTTTTCTCTGGAGAGTAGGAAGGTCAGGGAAAGGTTAGAGAAATTTTCAAAATTAAAATTTCTCTAAAAAATCTGTTGAGATTTTCTCTATGACAAAATAGGTAGAGTTGAATCTGCTGTTCTATTGATTTGATAAGTTGCCCTAGAGAAATTACCTTCCAATCCAGAGAAATTACCTTCCAATCCAGAGAAATTCACAAAAAGTCAGTAAAAATTTCCTTCTAGTATAGAGAAATTCACAAAAACTTAAAGAAATTTGAAATTTTCTCTATAATGTGTCTAGAGAAATTCTCCGGATCGAATTTTCTCTAGATTGATATTGAGAGACCTTAGATATTATGAAAATATTGAGTGTCCTTTATGCTATAAAATCATAATACCAGGGACCTTAAAAAAAAAAAACCCTTTAATAAACTGTATCAAATCCAATTATGATTACATGGTCAACTCAAAATATCCAACAAGTTTATGAGCAATGCTTTGGTGGACTAGTGTTCAAAATGTAGATTGACAAAAAAGTTTTTAGCATGCTTTTGACGAGTTTGATAAATAAATAAATAAAGCATGGAAAAAAAAATTAAATTTCTTTCTGTGAAATTTTCAAACCCAACATCTGCATAAAATCACTTTAAGGTAGAAAGATCAGACAAAAGAAAATTAAGGAATTATCATCATCTTCTTCACCATAGTGGGAATCTAGATTTTGATAAAAGGACTCCTAAACAGCCCCTGCAATAACTATTATCCAATTCTCAGAAAGAGAAGCAATTCCATCAGTTTCAATTTTGATTCCCGAGGCGAAAAAAAAGTAATAACATAACAACAAACACTGCTTAACAATTCATTTCCAAGACCATCGTCAAGAAATTAAACAGGCAAATGATTCTTGTATATAAAGGAGATTTATATTTCATCAGTCAAAAAACTCCATCTTAGAAAGAAATCAGGGGAGCCATAGAGATTTGGCTTCAACCTTTTTCGATATTAAGAAGTTTTATATATCCATGTCAGGACTATGAAAAACAAAACAAAACTAGCCAGTCACAACCCAATACCCGCTAAGACCATGAACGATGAAACACAATCAGCGAAAGGAACAATGTACACAATGATCATCCATGGCTGACTGATAACAGATGCACATAAAACAGCTCTTGGTAAAACAGATGATCAAGTGGTTTTTACCTTTCGGGAGATGATCTCATCAATCATGGGCTTAGCGGCTAGGGGATAAAGCAACCACGGCTTATCCTTTTATGTCGCAATGAACAGTTTGGTTTCGGGAAATTCCTCGCTCGTGCTTGACTTGGAAGAGTTTTCCATTGCCTCCTCAATCAAAATCTCCTCTGAACGGCAATTCCAACTGCAAAACGCTTTCTCACCTCTGCAAGAAATCGAAAACAATAAAAAACCCGGACTACCAACACCAAATCCTATCACAACAGCATATAAAACACAGAATTTTTTGAGTGGTTTGCCGCGAACCTGTACATGTAAATATCTTCTCCCTCCAGCTCCTTCTTGCAAGAGTAGCAGAAGCTCAAAAAGTCACTGGAGGGGTACGGATCGGGGATTCCCGAGCATTGAATTGACATTGGCGGAGGCAATTGAATCTTCTGTTCTTTGTTCTTAGATAAATTGGTTAAATCATTGTCGTGACATTCCAAAATGCAATCACCAAAAATATGAGTTGTTTTGGGGTTGGGACCATATGTTTTTACACAAGTATAATCCTCAGACAGCTCGATTTCACTTGCCGAGAGGGACCCAATAAAATCATGGGAAGAGGATATGGAAATAGGGGTTGGATTCAACTTTGTAGCCGATGAGTCGCCTAAATTTTTAAGTGAACTCCCTGGGTTTGTTCCATTTCCAGAACCAAAATTCCCAGTACTTGAATCGCTACTCCTGTTCATTAAACTGGCTAGATGTGACCCCCCAGGCCTTCCAGAATCCAGTGAACAAGACAAAAAATTTCCAAATGGTTCGGGTTCAAATGCTGTTTCTCCAATACCAAACAGAACATTGGAGTTACCCATTTGAAGATTGGATGGTTTAATCATCTGGGTATGATGAAAAACTCCATAGTTCTTTGGCAGTGACTTGGAAGCCTCAAAAGAATCAATCCGGGTATGAAAATTTGGGGTTTTAATCCTCATCTGGGGTCCAAAAAGAATGTTCTTGCTATTCGATGATCGGAGAATTTTTTCCGATTGTTTTGGGTCGTCATCAAGCGAATCTATAATGCTTAGGCCTACTTTCCTGCAATCCCAGCTCTTGTGATGTCCCTCATGGGACAATCTTGGGGACCTAGAGGGGTTTGCTAGAGTTGATAAAACCCTAAAATCCAATGGAGAAGTAGGGCTTCTAACTGAATCGGATTCTGAAGCCTTAGGGCTAAACCCAACAAACAAACCAGGGACATTGAAAAAAGAATTGTTTTTGAGTTTTTGTTTTTGCCCCAAAACATCAGATTGAAAACAAGACTCAGGTATAGCAGCAGCATCACACATTAGGTGTCCCATGTGTTGATCTTTCTGATGTGATCTGGTCCTCTTCCTCAGCATTCTCAAAGCACTAAAAGCCCTTTATCTGAAACAAAATTAACAGTGTTTTACAAAAACAAAAACAAAAACAAAAATCAATGTTCCAAGTTGAATAATGTATGAATGTGTTAATCAATGGACATGTGAAGACAAAGAACTGTACAAGAACATCAGACCCATGAGATGAATTGGACAAAGGAATAGTAACATCTAGATCATAAAAAAGATAATTTATAAAACAACACATTTAAATCCAGAAATAAATTGCTTTCAATTGAACAATGATCAGCCCGGATGAGAAATGTTTCTGATGATTCAAATAAATAAAAATAAAGATCCTGTGGAGCTTGCATGAATTCAAGATAATATCAGAACTATTCACAGTAGTTGTAAATCCGAAAAACCCCAACCACCAACAAGAAACAGAATTAATTAATTTCAAAATCAAGTGCATAAAAGTAAAGTGATGAACAGACTCCACACACAAAAGTTGCAAATGCAGACAAAAATTTCTGAAGATCATCTTGAATCTTGATCATATATATAGTTGCATTTGGACTTTATTTTTTTTATAAAACCCCAAATCCCAAATGAGAAAACCCCTTGATCTTGATCATCTCTCTCTATACATATATAAATACATATTCAGACATAGATATTATCAACCTTCACTGATATTTAACGTCAGATGATCAAGATTTCAGAGAAGATACCCAGACAGGGAAAACTCAATGGATGCACATAAAAAGATGAACAAGAAAAGGAAGAGTGAGAAAACTAAGCTTGATATATATCAAATCTTACTCTCAGTTCCAAGAAAACCCAAGAAAAGAACTTGATGAGGAATGCATATCATAGGGTTCAGTGGGAATAAGGAATGAAATCTTGGAGAGAGAGAGAGAGAGAGAGAGAGAGCGCGATGGGAATGCCCACCTGGTTTTCTCCTCTGAAAACTTCACAGAGCTGATAGAGAGAAGAATACCCAAATGCAGTAAAAAATATAGATGTCTAGACAAGACAAGACCCTCCTCTCTCTCTCTCTCTCTCTCACTCTCTCTCTCTGCGGTGTGAATGTGTGTGTAAAACTCGTTCAGTAATCGTTTCACCTCTCCTGCTTACATGCATCAAAATCAGAGAAGCAGTGAGTGAGGGAGCTTCTCTTTTACTCCTCTTTCTCTCTCTCTCACACGTATTGTATACCGTATACAGTATACCCTTTCTGGAAAATTATTAGATACATGTCCATATTCATTTACTAATAATCATTTATTATCTTCTTTCATATTATACAATCATCTAATATACAAGAAAAATATTATAAATCCTAAATTTTCTATCAAATAAATGACGAAAGGTATGAGTGTGAGATCCACATTTAGTAAAAAATTTAGCATCCCTAACATTATCCAATATAAAATCATAATATTTCATTTTTTAAACCAATCATAATATAAGTAATGTTAAAAATTTCAAATATTTTATCAAATATCTCACGTGAGTGTGAGACTTATATAAAACTCACATGATGTGAGTCTGACACTCATATAAAATATTTGATAAAACATTTAGAATTCTTAATATTTTTCATCATAAAATCTCTTGTGATTATATTTTCAAAATACCCAATAATTATCCTTTTTTTTTGGCCTTTTAAAAGACAATATATTTATATATATATATATATGTGTGTGTGTGTATGTGTGTGTGTGGCGCCCCAAAATTTTTTTTTTGAAACGTCATAAGATTTTAAATAAAAATAACTTGCTAGATAAAATTTTAACTACTAGTTAAGAACTTTTAAGTTCTTACAAAGCCAAAGTCCAACGACAAAATAAAACTACGAGTTCACACACAACGTCACAACATAGTTTAATCCTAATACAAGGGATAACAGGATTTTATTCTGACAAAATCTTGACTCTAAGTCAGCCAAGGTTCGATATTGGCAGCAGCTCCAATTTCAGCCTCAGTCCCTTCTTCAACATAATCTGGCATGAAACGCCAAGTCAACAAAATATATGCCATGAGTTTTGCAACACAGTAAGAAAACGTAACCAACCTACCATTCTTTTTAAGAGACAAATAATAATATTCTAAACATGAGATAACAATATAATTATACACAGAAATTACAACCATTAGAATAGTTTCAATAATTTTAATAATTTAGGTGACACTCGAAATCTCACCAAAGAGATTTAACTCACCAACCACTAAGCATGGCAACGGTTAATTTGAAACCCTCCCTTGGTCAAATATTTAAGTGTTACCAACCGTAACTACCAGGGATGCCCACGTCCGGAGTTATATACCCAAGTAGTGGCATCCGTGGTCTGCCCCAAGGAAACGGTCTGCCAGGGGTAAGCAACCTCCCTGTGTGCCACCTGCACATCCACCCTTATTCCAAAACCGAATACCGAAAAGGGTTCAAATAAGTCCCGTGCCATCTTAGAGTTTCGCAACACAATTTACGTGAGAATTCTCAAAACCAGGGCCCACCCTGAACAACCGGTATTAACTGTCAATCCCTTGATTTCATATACTCTTTAAAACCAAGACTCACCCTGAACAACTAGTATTAATCCTTTATTAGTAACTTCATATATTGAACACAAATTATTCAAATCTCAATCACTAATAATGTTATACCAACTAAAACATAAAACATTATACATGTCACACAATAATAATTTAATGTCCAAAATTTAACAGACAATTAATTTAAACAATGGTATGAACATAATAACTTAGATATTAAAATTATAAATAAATTATTTACAAAAATTCGTGAAAATGTACAGAATATTCAATAAATATGTTTGGGTCATTTTTCAGAAATAAATTCCCAAAAATAAGTTATAAATGATTCTGTAAAATTCCCAGAAATTTTATGACACAAATTTATCACATTTCCTTAAATTAATTCCATACTTAAATTTTATAAATAAATTCCATGATCTAAAAATTTATTATGAAACTAGATTTCTCAAATTTCATTTTTTGCTTAGAAATTATCAGATTTGGTTTAATATAAAATTTTTAATGATTTTTCAAACACATAACAAAATTTGTCTATAGCTCTAGATTTGGTTAAAAATATGTATAAATTCATACAAAACTCAATAATTGTTGAAAAATTTGTGGATGAACTAGACATCATTATCAACAATTTTGTAGAAGAAATCATCTCGAAATTCGGAGTATAAAATTGTCTAAAAATTCGGATAACATGCTGGCAGATTCAAGACAGATTTCTCAACACAGTTTCAGATTTAGTTAAAAATTTGTATAAATTCGTAGAGGGGTCAAAAATTGTTTCCAAAAATTTCTGGATAAACTAGACATCATTATCAACAACTTTTTAGAAGAAATCATCTCGAAATTCTAAGTATAAAATTGTCTAAAAATTCGGGTAACATGCTGGCAGATTCAAGACGGATTTCTCAACATAGTTTCAGATTTAGTTAAAAATTTGTATAAATTCGTAGAAAGATCAAAAATTATTTCCAAAAAATTCTGGATAAATTAGACATCATTATCAACAATTTTGTAGAAGAAATCATCTCGAAATTTTGAGTATAAAATTGTCTAAAAATTCGGGCAACATGCTGGCAGATTCAACATAGATTATCTTCAACACAATTTAGACAATGTATCATATGTACACAATCTGAAAATTTCAATTATGTAAAAAAAATGAGAGAATTGAGAGAGTTTTCTTACCTAGTAATAGGGTGACAAAATGGTTGAGAATTTTGGCTTCCTTAATCTCCTACTCTTCTTCCTCTCCTATCATTAAGCTTGGTTGCTTTGGGGATTTCTCTCTTCTTTTTTTTTTTTTTTCCCATCGAATGCTTGCATGCACAAGGAAGGCTTGCATGCATATATATAAATTGAAGACATCTCTCTCTCCCTCTCATTCTTTCCATTATTTTATTTTCTCAAAAACATTTCATTCCCTTTCTCCACTTTCTAAGAGCAAACTTTCTCTAATTTTTATAAGTTCTTCCCTAAATTTTATAAAGGATGGTGGGTTTAGTAGGAGCTGTGGGTTGTTTGCCCACGGTTTGTTTGTTTGTTTGTATTATTATTATTTTTTTATTATTTTATTTTATTTATTTATTTATTTTTATTTTTTTGTGTGGGTTTCTGAAAATTGACACACTAAGATTTTTAACTAAGGTATTTAGTAAGAATAGTTATTATATTGAATCCTAATTAAAATAATTTATAAACAACAAATATTGAACACCCACAAAATTATTATTCTTAATAATGTCTTGTTAGTGATTGAATTGAGTCGATTTAAAACTAACTTTTACACTAATATATAATTCAGATAGACTGTGGACAAAATTAATTAATTCTTTAAAGAATAATTAAAAGATGGGTTTTCACAGTGTGTGTGTAAAGACTACTTATTTGTATTTATTTTTTAAATTTTATTTTAGCAATGGCTTATTTAGCTAAGTGAAAAAAACTAATTTTTCCCACAACTACTTTTGTAACATTTATCAAATGTATTTTCATTAACAAATTTAACATACAAGATTTATTAAAAAGATAATTACCAAATCAACCCTTAATCAAATAGTCTTCTCTCTCAATTACGAGGTGTGTTAAAAGTAAAATAATTTAGAAAAGTAAAGTAAAAAGATAATTATCAAGTCAACCCTTAATTAAAAACTTTAATATGGTGTTAGCTAAAAAAAATATTAAAATATTTAATATATTTTAATATATGTTTTATACAAAAATCAAAGTTATTTACCATATTTATGGACAAAATGATTAAAAAGTTCTCATAATAAATATATATTTATAATTTTATTTTTTAAACAAATTCAAATACTAAAGTGTTATTTAAATTGCATTATAACGTCAACTAAGAACACATGAGATTTTATATAATGAGACACAAATATGATACAAATGTAAAAATTTGTGCACAAAATACACAAAAGATCTCACATGAAGATAGGACACACAGACACAAATGGAACCTACCCGTCTATGAGAGTTTCTGCACATTTTGTATACAGATTTTGTGTGTAAATAATATTTTGAAAAATGCTTGGGAGTACTAATTAGTGCTCCCACTAATTAGGTGGCAGTGGGTTCCGTCATTAATGATGTGATGTTTTGGTCTTGGAGTTGTATTTTTTTTTTTTTTTTACTTTTTTAATGCATTAGTGCTATTAGTGGTGATGTTTTTAGTGGGATGAATCATTGTTGTAATATTTTCTATTCACATATAGGTCATGTTTGATTCACAAGATTAATAGTGAAGTATTAATAATCCTATTAAATTAGTGTGGTATTCATTATCCAATTGGATTAATAATAACCTCACCCCTACCCCATTACTAATAATCCTACAAATTTGTTGGATTAATTATCCATTAGATTAATAATCCTAAATCAAAATATTAACACAAATATAGGATAATTGGGCCCACGGATTAATAATCCCAATCCCATACTCTAATCCACCCAATCAAACATGCCCATAAGGTCTAGTTTTTTTTATCTCTCATATTTTGTGTCTTTTGCGCACTTTTATTTTTATATTTTTAATTTTTGTTATATATATATATATGTTAGTATACTACATGTATGTGAGCAAAAAAAAAAAAAAATTTTGGCCTAACCAGTCAACCGGCCGGTCGACCACCTGGTTGTCCCGGGATAGATTTGGTGAAGGTGAACCGTTGGAGCCTGAAGTATCAAATTCAGGAAATGGCTATTTTTTAACTCAGATTTAGTGAAATTTTTGATTCATCGTTGGAGATGCTCTTAGTATACTACATGTATGTATATATGTATGTACAAGTTGGGCATATATATATATATATATATGTGTATAACTATGATTACTAAAATGGTTTATTTTTGGAAAAAAAAAATGGGAATCCTTTCAGTTCCAGCTTTACTCTTTTTGAGGTGATGATTCATCACAAAACGACAAAGCTGACCCCCTCTCTGACCCTTGTGGGCCTCCCCCTCTCCTGTTTGTGACTCTCACTGTGAAAGTTTTTATTTATTGAATGATGAAAACCTGACTCACTTAACGTCCACTGCTCCCTAACCATGGTTAGTTTTGACTGAGTTAACGAGGCCGA